CTCTCTCTCCCCCACCACCACCACCCCTCCAACCACCCCCACCCCTGACGCGCTTTTAGGTCAATCATCTCCCGGGAAAATCATCAACTCATCCACACCAATCGCCTTATATAAAAAAATAAAAATCCCTTTGTCTTGTGGGGTTTTGGGGCGAGAAGCAGCCTGACTGCTGAAGAAAATGCTGAAGAAATAAATGTCATGAGAGTTGCTTCCTATTTGCAGTTATACGTGCACCCACCTCCCTTCCCACTTGTCTAGTGTATTTTCAGTTCTTAGCTTGAGGCTGCTTCTCTTTATTTTTGTAAAATCCATATTCTCAAAAAACCTCCCAGCAGGCTTCAGATTCTACGTCTGTTCCTTCTCAGCTGAGCACAAACATGTTTAATTAACAGGGACGTGCTCTGAGACTTAAAAAACAAACCAGTGTACACTCTTGGCATTACTCTCACTTGGATGGTAGTAGGTCTGTAGGTCAGCTACTCAGTCAGCGGTGGTGAGGCAGTGCTCAAGCCTCTGGTGCTCTGATAGGTTTTGACAGGCTTGAACTGCTGCCAGTCAGAGGGGGAGGCATTCAGCTGAACTGTGGTGGGAGGGAGGCTTAGACGAAACGTGATGATATTCAAAAGACAAGCTGTACTTTTATACACACGCTGGGATGTACATATATATATTTGATATAGAGAAATGATGTGTAATGATGAATTCAGATGTAAATCAGCTGTTTGATTCATCTGGAGGCCTGTGTCTGTCTTTGTGGTCTCTCTCTTCCGGCCTCTTTAGACGGCCCGTTGGGTAATATATATTGATTCCTTATTTCCTCCTGGAGACTTTTCAGGCTTCTTTGTGTGAGTGTGTCCAGGAGCACATTAAAACGTCGTGGCGGCACAGAATTACCGGTAATGCCATTAAAAGCTGTGGTGTGGTGCTCCGTTCATCGCTGCTGCTCTCAGACCAGCGTGTCTGCACATTAAGAGGATTACCAGTGTGTGTGTTTGTGTGTGTGTGTGTGTGTGTGTGTTTCACCCTCAGCTGTTAACTCAGGAATGATCCGACACTGATACACAGTCAGTCAGGTGAACCCGGGGATCAATTTGGGGCCGGCTACCAGAATTAAATGTCAGCGCACAAGGGATGGGATATGGGGTTGTGTTACACACACAGTGCACGCAATGATACTGTGTGTGTGTGTGTGGCTGAGTCTTTGACCCTCATTACTGCACGTATGCTCTATTTTCTCTCTGTGTTACATCCCAAGGCACACTTTGTGTAGCAGGAAGAAGAACATAAAAAAAGGGTTACACAAACTCCCCTGTGGTTCACTGGGCTTGTTGACATAGGGCTCTTCTGACCCTTCTCCCCGAGGCCATTACTGAGACATTTATAGCTCCGGTCCTCCGAAGCAGCCACCAGTATTTCTTTAAACCGTTAGGTGCTCTGAGATGATAAAGGTAATCATTTTCACAGTGCATATTTGCAAATAGGTGTCACGTGTCAACACATTACTGCGGCAATATGTTTGCACAGTACACGTGTCAACAAAATGATGTGTGTTGGTTTTACAAGGTCATTATGAAACAAGTTCATATGGAGGTTGAGGGGGTGGGGACTACATGTCAGTAAAGCTCAGGAGTTCAACAAGGGATTTATAGCGAGCTCTTTTTTCTTCTTCCTCCCTAACCTTCAATGTGAAGATTGGATTGAGAGCATTTATTTGGATGTCCTTTCGCTCATATTTTGCGTTTCCTGCAGCCCTTCTGACTGATTTTATTGCGAGAGAGATTGCAGACAAGCTCTACATTCATCCTCTCTGATGCCTGTACTAAAATTAAAAACCACAGAGCTGCTTAGTTCAGTTTCAGCCTAATCTAAATCCTGGAGGAGCAAGCAACCAGCTTTTTGGCAAGAACTACTGACAGCTCCCAGAGTTTGGAATAATGAGTTATGACTTCTGAGAGTCTGTGTTTGATGTCCAAAAGTTTTTGAAGCACAGTATTAAGCCCTCAAATTCTGTTCAATCTCCACCAAACTTAATGCACTGATGAATGTGTCTGAATTGTGTCTTGCCTCTGATACACAGGTACGTCCACGCCCTGTATTTGGGCGTGCAGAGCCGCTGGCACGGAGATCCCGAGCGCCGTCACTACTACTGGCGCATGATGTTTGAGAGTGCGGATATCAGCATGCTGCGTCTGCTGGAGTCCTTCTTGAAGAGTGCCCCCCAGCTGGTGCTGCAGCTCAGCATCATGATCCAGGCCAGTCAGGTGTTGCCCCTTCAGGGTGAGTGTGCCCCAGAAATGACCAGTCACCACATCACTCAATCACACGTCTGCAGCCCACACTGTGCACGATGAGTCACTTGTGTTCGCATCAATCAGTCCCCCGCAGAGCAGGGAACTGTTTATTCTTGCTGTGATAAACGGTGAAACAGCAACCCTAGAGCCATTTCCATCCCTGTCTAACTTCTGTTGCTCAGTCTCTCTCCTCCTATCTCTCCTCAGGGCTTTCAGCTTCTGCCTCGCTGATATCCCTCGCCTGGATGATCGCCTCCTATCAGAAGGTCCTGAGGGACTCCCGAGACGATAAGCTACCCATGACCTACAAGGCCGTCATAGTTCAGATCCTGTGGCACCTGTTCACCATCGGGGCTCGCACTCTGGCCTTCGCCCTCTTCGCCTCCGTGTTCCAGCTCTACTTTGGCATCTTCATCATGGCCCACTGGTGCATCATGACGTTTTGGATAATTCAAGGCGAAACGGACTTCTGCATGTCCAAATGGGAGGAGATCATCTACAACATGATGGTGGGTATTGTGTATGTTTTCTGCTGGTTCAGCGTGAGAGAGGGGCGCACTCGCTGCAGGATGCTCATCTACAGCCTGACTGTGTTCGTCGAGAATGTGGCGCTCACCACTGCCTGGTACCTGTACCGCGGCCCTCGTACCTCAGACTTCTACGCTGTCATCATGGTGTGCGTGGTGGCCAGCAGCTACGCTCTGGGCACCTTCTTCATGTTTGTGTATTACTGTCTGCTGCACCCCGACGGCCCAGTCTCTGGGTGGGGTTATATTGTGGAGAAGGAGGTGCCCGTGGAGTCGCTGGTCTCCCCAGCTTCCAGCCTCCCCCCTGACCTGGTGAGCAGCCCCCCCAGGACCCTCCAGAGAACTAAAGGCTCCGACAGAGAGCAGGGGCCTGGGGTAGACGGAGACGTGTTTCAGGTACGACCACCTCGGGGAGCTCAGGCCCCGCTGACCCACCTCACACCCAGGACAGAGGGGCCTGTCATCCGCATAGACCTGCCCAGGAAGAAGTACCCCGCCTGGGATGCTCACTTCATCGACCGCCGGCTGCGTAAAACCATCCTGGTGCTCGAAAGCGCTGCCCCGGTCACACCAAGGATTCAGTACCGCTGTCTGGGCACACCCAAAGAAGTGATGGAGTACGAGACCACTGTGTGATGTGCTGAAGGTGCTGTGACTCAGCTCACCACCGTGTGGACATCCGGCCTTAAATAAAATGGCAGGTGGATGACTCTCACAGAGCAGTCTGTTTCCACTCCACGCCTACTTGATTGCTCTCAGTACTGTCGGGCAGCGGAGACAAACAGGAGAAGAAAAGGGGGCCACAAAGGAAGTGTGGTATTTTTTTACTAAAGGCAAAGTGCTGTGATGTTGTCTAATGATGGTGCATATATTCGGTTTCTGTATCATTTCTCAGGTCAGGATGTGGTACAGGAAGGAAGTTGACATTAGCAGCAACGCTCGCTGTCCAGTGAGCTTAGAGAGAAGCACAGGTAGGCAGAGAAGTGGAGCTGTACGATTATCAATCAGAGGCAGGAAGTCCTCCTCAGCGAAGGTGCTTCAGCACATCCTCTCAAGGCGGTCGACAACAGAGACGAGCCTTCAACATGCATGATTATTTATGGCAGCTAGAACTCAGAGAAAGAGATGGTTAACTCTCACCCGTAATTTAAAACACAATCTACAATAAATACAAGACAGGCACTGATAATCATGGTCATGATTTTCCCATAGCTTTTCACTCATGTTGAAGGAGTCTCTGAGAATGCTGCTGCAAATCTGAAGGGCGGTTCAAAAGCAACATTTGAGTTGAATGTAAAAAACAGTTTGAAAATGTGATTATTTGTGACGAGGCTTTGAGCATTTTCATGCTGTTAGTGGGATTTACAACATTCCTGTGGTACTATATTTCATTTTTTTTAAGGTAAGCTAGAACAAAAAAAGAGATTTGTGTGTGTTTACAAGCAATCCGTTGTTTTTGGGAACACGCCATCATTATTATAACGGGATGCACCTTCATTCAGAATGTGTACGTACCAAACAAATAGCTACGTTATAATTTACATTTACAGGAGGAATTCTACTGGTAGGACAGTTGTATTTTCATACTGCATCCATCTTACACAGCGAAGGAAACAGTGCAGAAATTCATTTCCATGTAAATTAAACTGTAGTATGAAGGGGAAGTTACAGAGGGACAGCACTGTCTGTAATTGTACTGTATCCATATTTTATTGTCTCAAAATGTAAAAAGGAAAAAAAAATAATAGCTCCAGACTCCTAAGAGAAAAGCTTTGATATTCTTGATGGTACAGGCATGTGGTACTTTTGCTAACACTTTATTTTACAGATCTATTATTTCTTTATAATTTACTCAAAACTTTACTAAAAATGAAAAATTAATTTAATACAAATCTTAGGGAAAATAGAGAAAATGTCATGTATTTCCTTGACAGTATTTAAACACACTATTTTATTCTTCTTATATGTTGAATTTCAAACTCGCCTCTTTGCATACACACTGACTAAAGGAGGTTACACTAGCTTAGCTTTTAATTGGAACTGATTATTTGGTAGCTTGCCAATTAAACAGTCTGTTTTCTAATTATAATTAATGCTAAATTATATAGGTTATCTCCAGGTACCTTCCTTTGAATAATATTAAGAATTATCGGACTTGTAAATTAAAGCGTTACTGTACTTTCTTTTATCAGGGTTGTTTTTCTATAGAATAGTCACAAGAGGGACATTTCTGAACCGTGTGTGTGTGTGTGTATGTGTGAGTGTGTGTGTGTGTGTGTGTTTGTGCGTGTGTGAGCTCACATACCAGCATGTGTATGGGTGTGTGTGTATATGGGGGAAAGGGGAGGGGGAAGGAGTCTTGCCATGTGCATTTAAGTTAATTTGAAATTGTGTCACTGAGATATGACAGTTTTGTTGTAAACACTGTCCAGTCAGCTCATTTTTCCCAGATGACACTGAAATGAACAAATGGCCCACAGAGCACCTTTACCACCCCCACCCCTCGTTACAGTAACAAAGCCAGAGGGGGCTTCTACTATGGTGCTAAATCCATCACGTAACAACCACATGGTGCACCATAAAATGGGCGTGTTGTGGTAGGAGTTGGGCGAGGCTGTACCTCAAACACAAAGCTAGAATCAAAAAGCCTTAAACTGGTCATGCCAGACTGTTGCTGTTCAGAGCAAGAAAAAAAAAAGATGAACAAGAAGGTGAAGACAATTTCATTTTGTTGTTGTTGCTAAAATAAAGAGCAATGTGTTTACCTGACTTATGTTGTTTGTGCCTTTCTGTACTAGATAGATAGATAGATAGATAAAGAATATGATACGATCAGATAGCATAGATATCAGATAAGACACCGCCGATACACGATAGATAGAAGATACCAGGATACGACCTAGATACGACTACCGATCCTTCTGATGGATTGTTCCTGATTGGATTGCAGACTAAATCCATCTCTATTCCACAGTGCGGATCAGTGGATTAGCTGCACCTGAACCCTTGGTCACAACAACTGCGTATATCAACCGAGGTCGTGACCTTCTCAACAGATACCTAGTTAAAAACACACTCTTTGGCACGCCTGTTATCGTTGTCAAATTATTCGAGCTGTGAGGAGAGGGAACGCCAAAGGATTTCAGTCTATTGGTCGCTTCCTCTCTGCGGGATGGAAAAGCTTTCACACTTCAGTTGTCTTGTCTTGGCACGGAGGAAAAAGAGACTCCCCAAACCGCTCCAACTGTCTTGCA